ATTTTCAAAGACGGCTTTATGGTGAGTGTAAGATATTAGGCTGGACTATGGGATAGCCAACGTTCAGCCTACCATTTTATACTAGCCATAAGAGTAAAGCACCAGCTCTGGGCCCTGATGTTGCGCAATATTCACTTTCAATCATGGCATGCCCCAGCGTCTCGTGGCACACGCTGGGGAAATGACAGGGGCCGGGGTTGAATCGGAGGAACTCCATAAACGCTGGGGCATGCAGGGGGTTTGGCAGGGCGCCCACTGATCACCAGTTGTGAAGCAGGCAAGCGACAAAGTGTTACCAAAATGACATCTGAGGTAGTTAGAAAGAGGGGTTGCTGACAAAGTATGAAATCCCTTTTCCTAGTCGGTAGGTTGCAGCGCTAGGAAATTCCTTCTTTCTTAGTATAACGGTCATTATCAACAACCCGATTGTCGTTGTTTTTTTTGAATCTCCACAGCTTTGGTGATGTTTGGAGTGTGTTGCGAGAATAACCCAATTTTATGACACTAACCTCACTTGCTACAACAATGTGTGCTCACCAACATAATCACTCGAATCGCACTCGCTTAGCCACTCTATCAAGCCAGCAGAGTCTAGAGTTAGTCGATTCCGTGGATGTTTAGCGCTATAAAGATGCCTAGATGTATTGGTCAAGATAATCCTTTGGAAAAAAGGGGCTGGAACAATCCAAAATCCGCATTTTCCAAACAGTTTTGCCGTACTTTCTCAACATTGAATACCCAAGTAAGTAGTACAGAACAGCAAGAACAACAGTCCAGCCTGACCCTTAGTATATACGAGAGCCGTTCAATGTGTTCTCGGTATCGGGGTAATTTAGTGACGAAGAGATTCAATAGGTGAAAGAAGGTAAGCCAATAGGTAAAGACACTCCCTAAGGGTATGAATACAAAATTTCATTTTGTTATCATTAGTGCTGTTCTAGTTATCCTCCGTGGAGGAAGACCAGAATGAATGATGCGACAGTGTTGAGAAAATTAATGATTTTTTTAAAAATTGAGAAATGAGAGGAACTTTTAGAAAATGATAAGTGGTTACCTCCTGTTCCCCAACCTGAAGAAAAATCTTTGTAGAAAGCGTTTCCCCGACGGAGAAGAGCTAAAGGCGGCAATTAACCCAGGGACAAAGAGGAAAGTATTCCTAGAATGTACTGGAAAGTTAGTTCCCCGAGTAAAGAAGGGTGCTGAGGTTATGGGGGACTACATTGAAAAATGAATTTTATTCAGAATTTTCTGCTTTTTCCTTCATACCCATGCCAAGAATACATTGAACACCCCTCGTATATCAAAATGATTCGGTGACTATTTGACTTGATAGCTGCATTCTACAGGACCGGGACCTCATTATATCGACTCCACAATGCTAGCGGCTATCCACCGGAAGCAGGCAACGCCGTACTTTCGGGTTGCCCGTGAGGGCGAGTCGCTAATTCGTCCGGTGGTGGGGCTGGGGTGCTTGCTATTTGCAGAAGAATTCTCTCTTGCTGCTGGACTTTTCTCACTTTTCCCTTTCCTGTTGCGCTAAAACCACCACCCCCCCCCCGCCTCCCCCGAGGGTGCATGAGAATTTTGAACGATGGAGAGTTTTTGAGAAGTTTCAAGAAGCGGTATTAAGTTGGAAGAGTATAAGTTTAGGGAGGAATCAGGCAGGTTGGAGAAAGGGAAGGGTGCTATCAGAGCAGCGAGTTCCAATTTGCAAAAAATTTCCAACACGGCCGGATGTACCCTGTCTCCGGGTCTTGGATTGTATCCTTCGGGGAGAAGGAAGAATGATTTGTCTCTGGTGTGTAAAAAGATGGGGCGCGGCTTCTGGAGTGCCCATACCGGTGCTCGACGGGCTTTGATGTTCAAATTCTACAGGGAACAGGGACCTTGACAGCTTGGTAGTGGAATCAGTATTTTGAAAACAAATACAGGGGGGCCAAAAAAAGTCACTTTGCCTCATTGACTTTCGAGGCGCTATAAATTACACTTTATCAAATTCTGATCGGACATTTTTACTACCATATTGAAGAGCATATTAAGTACTATCACGACACTCCGCCACAGCCTTCTGGACGAACGCCATCGAGAGATTCTGGCACGCGACCGCGATGTGGTACCTGAGATCAGCGAAGTAGTCGATTTCTCCGCCACCGTAGACCACCCTCTTGAAGTCCGCCCGAGCTAGGTAATTGAGTGGGTTCAGGTCAGGGGACATACTTCAATATTACATCTTCTTCAGGTACGAAACGCCCTTCCATTCGAAGTAGGCGGGAGTTTTTCCAAAACCCTTTGATTCCATGTGGTGGCACCCAAACCTGTAGCAGCACAAGGTCTCCAAGAAGGTACGGGCGACCACATGTAGGGAGGATATTCTTCTCGAGTTACTTGATGTAACCGCCAGCGCTCACCTTCAGTCGGGGTCTACAAAGAAAATATCGGTCTTCCCTTTCCAGGTACCCCGGTCCATACCATCAACTCGCGCCTCGGCGAATACGGTGAAGATGATGTCCTAGACCGTAGCGAAGTTGAGGAAGCTGCTCGATGTGGGAGGTCTTGCAGATCAAGAGTACTGACCTCCAGGTAGCTATCTGTGGATGACTTCATTCAAGAAGTTTCGCAGCTGTTTGGAGGCGACGTGAATTCCAAAGGTGTTCTCCAGTCAGGCCGCGACTGGAGATGACTTCATATTTTGGCGTACATGAAGGCGATTGGCGGCAGCCTGCTCCAGCTTATAGAGGAAGATCTTGGGTATCTTCCACTCTGGTACTCATATCCACTTCCCCTGTCTGGGCTGCGAAAACTTCGTTGATATGTGGACTTGGTCGAAATGACTTTTTTTTTGGCCCCCCTGTATATTTTGTTGCGTATATAATGAAGAGTTCAGCGGCTTCAGCGTTTTCGCCATTTCATTTCTGAAAAAAAACTAATTTGGGCGCAGTTGCTCTACAGCCTACGAAACAGTTGATCTCTAGAAAGTTTTATGGTCAGGATACAAGAGAGTAAGGGGGTGTAATCACCGTGTGTACAGCAAGGGTCCGCTCATCCCGCCACCTAGTGCTCGTCACATAATTTGTGGAGTTGAGCTAAAGAGGCTGCGGACCTTGACCGAGAGCGCCGGGCCAGCCATGTTTTTGGAGGCCATTGCCTACTATCAGTGCTTTCACCCTTTTATCTCACTCGTAGAAGCTATGAAGTTTGGGGAAACACGATGGCAGCAATACTTCAAAAGACTTGACGCCGTTTGCAAAAACGCCTCAGTTGGGGGGTACAAGATTGTTGAGTTGTGGCAAAAGTCGTGCCCAGGCGGGGAAGTCAAACCCGCCCCTCATTTCTTGGGCCAGCCCGACTGATATGCACTGCGGCGCCGTAAAACAGCAGTCGAGCTGCGTCTCCAGACTCCGTAGTTGAGAGACATTCGCCGCTAACGCTGGCCGCCCCGGTGTCTCGTTCCTGTATCAATAATATAAAGGCTCATGTTTGGTTTTTAGCATATGACGCTATCCGAACGCCAGCCACTATGTTGGCAGATTTATGGATGAACCACCTTCCCGGGGACTGAATTAAAACACTGAAAGCTAAGAGAAGTCCGCACATCTGTCGCATTTTCGTCTCCACCGGGTGGTCGTCGCAAACGCCAATCCTTGTGTCATTCTTGTGGTCTTCAGCCTTTGGAAAAGATGGAAATTCGGTTTTGAAATTCCTGTCATTTCCCAGCCGAATCTCCATCTGATTTGAAACGGCAAAGGTTTTTGCGGTCCAAAGCGAAGCGTGAAAGCTGTTCTGCATTTGCTAATGTCTGCTGAATTCCCGAGTCTATTCGAGACCTCCGGCTATAGGTGTGACGTCAGTAGGCTAAAATTTATGCTAATCGTTACAGACGTCAACACGATATCAGAGAAATTGCGGTATTTCCGCACTGCTTTTATTTTATGTAAATGCTGGTGCTAAAATTTGACTCAAAAGGGCGTCCAGTCTCCGTGTCCACAGGCTAACTCACCAGAAAATTTCACAAATCAGTCGTGAAATTTTAGACATCTTTTGCAAACTCTCGCTGCACGAGTTTTTCAATGCACTTTTCCATAAGACTTCTCTTGTACGTATAGCTGAGAGTAAGGAAATTGTTCTAGTCTAAAATCTAAAGATTGCAATCTGTTGCCACTGCGTTTTTCAATGGCACGGGACAAGCTGGGTCCGGTACCCCGTGGCGTTTATCGTTCAGTGGTAGGACACAACGTACGTTGGAAATTACCCAACGGGAGGGGCTCGTATTAGGACCGGCGCGAGTGGCAAGACGGTATAACGAGAAAATATTATTTTTCACAGTTGATTATTTCTTATTTCACGGGAGCTAATTTCACATCGCTGGGAGATTCTGGGAAGGGTGGGGGGGGGGGGGGCCACGCACGCATTCGCTCGTACAGTTGGGAGAGGAAGAGGGTCGTATTCGCCTTTGAGAAAAATTTGCAGCGCTAGGAAGAAATTCTCCCGGCTGCTAGGTTTCCGCGATTTTCCTGTCTCACTTGACTGGTGCTAAATGCCCCTCCCTCACCCCTTCTTGCTCGACGGCAAATTCTGGAAGAAACACATTCGAACTTTCAGCGAAATTTTGCGAAATTTTCTGGTAAAGAACTTGGGAAACTGAGTAAGATGGTGCGTAGGGTGAGGGGTGACGAGAGGGGATTGTATTTTGCGTATTTCGCCAGCGGCAGATCGTGCCCTGTTTAGTGGTACAAATTATGCAATCAAGTGTCCCACAACGTCATCCATGAGAAAAATCGCCGAGAATCGTCGCCATTGTCCTCTGCATGAGTTCCTTGCCAATCACATTATGAAGATTTTGCTGGCTTGCAGTGGGAGTGCTGCTAGTGGTGCATTTTCTTTTTGCTTACATCACTGACCACGTTTTGTGTGCAATGTGAGTGCACAGAATTCCATTCAAAACAATCCCACTAAAGCACTTCATAATAATTTAAGGGTCAACGGAAGATCGAGAAGATGAGATGCACCTACGAACGCACAAGAAAGCTCAGAACACTCCTAGTGCACCACTGCAAGGCTCTGAAGTCGGCTACAATGACCAGACCAGTCCTGATGATGATGTCATCAGCACAGAAAGTCAAGTAAGATTTTCATTAATCCTTTCTGAACCAGAATACAGCATCGTGTGTAAAACACATAAGAAGTCGGTACTTTTCGAAAGGGGAGGAGGGTCGTATTTGGACGTTGTTGGAGAGTGGGGGGGGTCGTATGTTGATACTGAACAGAAATTTGCCGCGTTTGGGAAAAACTTTTTCCGGTTGTTGACTTTTCGCGTGATTTTTCCTGTTTAATTTGTACTATTTACCTGCCCCCCCCCCGTGAAGGAAAATCTCGGGAGGGGGGGGGGTCGTACTGGCACCACCATTTCACACATCACGATGCTGTATCCTGTTGTGAGCTCTCATCGTTTACAGATTCTAAGAGGATGATAAGCTAGAAACCTCGCTTTTTATATACTGTTTTGCAACTTCCCTTGTTATGTTAGTGTTAATTATGCATAGTATCCAGGACTCATGCACAAGAGTAGTCTGCCCCCATTGCAGTCGGTTTTTGGCTTTTTTGGGTTCTGAGGCGCCTTTAAGCCCTACCGTAAGGACAGCACATTTTGGTGATTTTTATCACCTTGAGCGCCACGCCTTAGACCCTTTAGGGAAATCGTGTCCACTTCCGAGTTTTTAGTCATTTTAGGTTTGACCTGATACTCTTGCTTCAAATTCCATCCACACAGGGCTATTCCATGCCCTCAGGTGGCCAATAACCTTTCCCCGCTTTCCAAATGCTAAGTACACATGGAGTGGTTGCCTAATGGCGTCATGTTCAGGATCGCATTCAACTCACGCCAGCCAAGGGTTCTATGTTTGAGAAGTTGGTCCATCAAATAAAACTCGAGTAGAAAGCTAAAACCCCGTGCGGTACCTTGTCTGGTCTCACAACGCATTGGGGTTGGCCAGTTCCCTCCGAAGAGTGCGCCACATCTAAGAGTTCCATTCCGAATCGCTGTTTTGTTTAAATGAGTTCTCGATTAATCATGCCTTCCCATCAATAAATCTGATTTTAGTGTTCAACCCCGGACTGACATGGACTTTTGATTTCTCTGATTTTTTTTCTGCATCTTTGCACCAGTGTAGTAGGTAGCGCTGTAGCAGCACTACCTACTGCACTGCCAGCAATTTCGAACTACAAAGCTTCGACTACTAAACCATCGCAGTCGCAGGGCTACGCTTTCTAGTGTTGGACGCTGTAGCAGCGCTACCTACTACATGCCCAGAAGTATCAAACGACAGAGCTCGAACCTACTAAACCGTTCGCCAGTCCAGGGGCTGCGCGACCTTCTAGAGTTGGAATCTCTTCTCAGTACACATGAATAACTGCGTTGGAACTTGCTTTCCAGTGATTTAATAACTGCGTTGACTTCTGAGTTTCTTTCTTTATAATTCTTGAGAATAATTTTGTTTTTTTTTCAGAACATTCCACTGATGCGGGTCGTGATGTCGAAGAAGCAAACGAAACGGAAAAGCAACAAGGTCTTGAAAGAGGGTTGGGTTGTGCACTATACAAACCAGATGAACATGGTGAGCCTCACTGTATTCTTCCCACAGTATGACCGTGACCGATCAATTCTCAATCCAACTTGCGAAGGTAATCCTTTTTGCAGAGGAAAAAGCACTATTGGCGTTTGGATACAAAAAGTCTCATTATGTATCAGGATGAGACTTCAACTCGTTACTTCAAGGTAAGGTATCGCTGATTTTCTTTTCTTTTTTCTTGTGCTTTAGGAGTTTATCAATCTAGCTCTCCAGTTTTCGTGTAATAAAGTGTCATTAATATTCTTCGTCAAAGCTCCTTCAATGTTTGCTTGTTTACTATTGATAGTTGCAATCCTGACTCCTCTTCCTTTTCTGGAATGGTTTCAAATTTTTCTTACCCTTCCTTTTTATTCTTTTCTTTTTCATTGACTGCTACTTCTCTGATTTATTGTTTTATATTCAGTGGCTCCTTTTCTTCCCTGTCACATTTTTTTCGCTCATGGTTCTGCTACTGCTTTGCTACTACCACTTCTGTTTTCCGTTACTTGCCTAAAATTCACCGCTCTTCGAGCCTTTCGGTGCAGTTTCGCTTGGTGGGTGCACCCAGCCAAGCTTGTACAGACCACCATGTGAGGGCCTGTGATTTCTGTGATTAAAGCGAATCGTTTGCACTATTTCGAGCTTCGCAGGGGTTCGCAATTTTCAGCAAAGTGAGGACTGTCAGTTTACAGTAATTAATAAAAGGAAGAAGCGCCCTTCCAGCCGAACGGCGCCGTTTTCCTCTCGAATTCTCTCTCCTATCCCATCTCATTCTAGCCTTCTTTCTCCTCCATTTTACTCAATGTTCGTTTACGCCCCTCTTCTTCAGTTGTTCTCCATAAGGCATTACGGACAGCGTTCTGCAGCACTCCCTAATCCTCTCCTTCCTCTGGCATTCTATATTTTCCTACACAGTTCCTCTGTCTCTTTCACATTTGACCACCAATTGCTACTGCTGTTCGGCTTTAGGGATGGGGCACTTTGCATAAGCTATGCTCCTTATCTCTGAGACGCAGTAGGCGTGAAACTCGAACATAGTACAGAGTATGTACTCGTGACACTCCACAACTGTGTCAAAATGAAGATATCTCTCTAAAAGCTTAGGCCGCGTTCATAGCTTGCGACCATGAAGAAAGTGAAGAAGTGCCGAAAGTGAAGAAGTGCCGAAAGTGCGGAAAGTGAAGAAAAGCAATAGATACGTATCGATTTGAAGAAAGTGAAGAAATGCCGAAAGTGCGGAATCTGAAGAAATGCCGAATGTGAAGAAAAGCAATAGATATGTATCGATTTGAAGAAATTGCGGAAAGTGCGGAATCTGCAGAAAGTGCGGAAAGCGCAGGAAAGGTGCGGAAAGTGCGGAAAGTGCGGAATCTGCAGAAAGTGAAGAAAAGCATTAGATACGTATTAAAGTGCGGAAGGTGCGGAAAGTCAAATCGATACATATCTATTGCTTTTCTTCACATTCGGCATTTCTGCAGATTCCGCACTTTCGGCACTTCTTCACTTTCTTCATGGTCGCAAGCTATGAACGCGGCCTTACCGTTTCGCCACGTCTAGTTGAAGTGCTCACCCACGCCACTACATTCCAAGGATTCTGAGTGTAGTTTTCTTCGCTTGCTCATGTCACGACCCACTTTGGTGAGACCTGAATACCCTTGTCAAGTGTCACTGAAGTTCATGCCCTTGCAGGAAGTTGCAGATCGGCAAAGGATCCTTTTGCTGGTTCCCATCATCGCCAACGGTCGATTGATGGGAACCAGCAAAATGCCCCAAGCCAGACTGCAGTCACTTCTTCTCTTTTCTTATTCTCACCCTATTCGCGTTTCAACGCATGGATGAGACTCTTCTACTTTTCATGTTGTTTTCGATCAGTTCTCTACCATTTAGCCACTCCATCTTCATCCTGTTTGGTCCTCAACTCCTCTTTCCGCTTTCTTTTTCCTCTCAGATTCTCTTTATCTGTTCGATGATGTCCGCATACGGCTACATTCCATCTTTGAAGTACCCCATTTTCTGGAGTATAAGGCGCATTTATCACGACGCTCGCAGAAGCGCACGCGACAACGCTCTCGAAGAGATTCTGAACGCCGTAGGTGCTAATTTAGTCTTTTTTTTACACGCTATGACCTTCATGGTCCCTAGACCTTTATTGTTTGGCTCAGATAATTCGTGTAGGTGAAAAATTGCGCAAAAAGCAAGTCAAAAAAACATTCCCAGCGTCAGAGGCGGCGATGCGTCCTATCCACGTGCGCCATATACCCCAGGAAATACGGTAACTCCTTTTCTCATCGAATTCTTTTTGTCCCTCTGTTCTGATCCTCACTCTTCTTTCCAGGAAATTCCTTTGAACGAGGTTTTGGATCTGAAAACAGTCGATCATGAAACGTTGAAAAAATCGAACACTCATTTCTTCGAAATTCGTACACAAGACTGCACCTACTACATTGGTGAGTTCCTCTCTCTTTTTCCTTTGTCATGGAAGCTGACAGCAGTTTTTCACCTATGTGCAAACGTCTTTGAAAGAACGGTAACCTTTTCTTTCTTGTTGATATCAACGATCGACGAATCAGCTGCAAATGTGCTCATTGAATAGGTTTAGAAATATCGTGACATTTGTTTTTTTATTGTATTTGGTTTTTTTTAATCTTTGATTCTATTGAATACCCTTGCATCCTTTAGTGCTTTACTCGGTGCTCTATGTCATTTCAGTGAAGTTACAGTTCTTGCAGAGAGTACTACTTGTTAATGGCGTCGAGACATATAAGTTACCTACTTTCCCCAATCATGTAACAACCTCGACACGTCCAATTGTAGCTCGGAAGATGTCACCTCATCAGAGTGTGAAAGAAAGAGCCCTCGGTTTCACACGTTTTCATAGTCTTGACCCAGGATATTGACAGAATAGAATTAGAAAAGTGATGTCCGCTGTCGGTCTATTGCCACTTGACACGCCATTCTATTCACACTTCCCGCTACGCTCTCACATACTTCTGCCTTTTCATTATTTTTCGATTTTATTTGATTGATGCCTCCGATTTTCTCAGCTCTGGACCCAGCTAAAGACACCCAGCTGGTCTCAACCCAGGTTTACGTTATTCAGAAGCGCAATCGTCATCTGTTCCTCCTCTGCCTTGCAGTCTTGAGCAGATTCGTGTGGCTGGCTCATTGTAATCACATTACTTTGCAACACCGCTTCGGGAGGCGTTCTATGTTTCCGGGTCACTATATACTGGGTTGGCCCATAAGTAATGGCGTTTTTTCCTTATACAAACTTTCTATGTAAAAAGTGAGAATCGTTTTCAATGAGAACTGTGCTATTCGACAGATAATTTCCTGATCTTTAAGATGGCATGATTGCCTTTCTACTTTTTCTTACTTTTATAGATCTTTATTTCATTGAATGGAGGCGGCGAGAAACGGGTTTTCGACAATGACTTTTTGCACTTTATCTCAGCTCTCAGAAGAAGCTCAAAACTTGTATTATATATGACCAAAAAAAGGAGCTTCTTATGGCAGCTTCAAGGTTGAAACGATCAAGAGGGGGGCTTCGGACCCTGTAATTGTGTATTGCATGGGGAGCCCTCTTGAGCAGCGACTGCCTGCAGAACCTACCCCCCCACCACAACTTTCAAAGGTCTAACATCAACTGAGCGTGATGCTTGATTATGATAAAGAAGAATTTCATGACCTCTAACGATTCCTCAATCTTTGGCATGAATCTACGTGAATAGGTAATTCAGTAAGCTCTCAGTTGGACTCAATAGGGCATTAGGTTCGATGCTTGTCTGTGAGGTCGAAATTGAAACCTTCGAATCACTCAAAGCGTTGCAAGATAGTCTCTGGTCGTATACTCAGCAATTGGGCCTGACGGTTTCAGTTTTTTTTTATAGAGGTAAAAAAGGGTGACTGTAAAATGCTCAATTCCGTGGACGTGACACTCCAGTTTGAGCATTGAAGTATTAGTGGCAATTGTAAATTCAGACAAACTAAGAGGACCATCGTATAGGGCAAGGGATTCTCTGCAAAACACTATGAAGCTCATTGCAAAACTTTTCATCTTTATTTCGAGTAAGGAAAAACGTCATTACTCATGGGCCAACCCAATAGCAAGGACTTTTGTAAAATTCTCTGAAGCTACGAAATCGTACCGGTTACAGGCCTCATTTCACGAGTTTTTTTGTGAGACAACATTTATTGCTGAAAAGTGCGAAAACAGTTACGACAGAACCGGTAAGGTGACTATTTTTGCTGAATGCTTGTGGATAAGAACTTCAGGATTCGTGATCATCCCTCATGCATTCGTCCCTATTCCCTCATGCAGAAAAATGCTTCCACAATCCGTAAGAAGTTGTTAACTTACTTCTGACTTTTTCCGCACTCTTACCCCTTTCCCAGCTCATTTTGCTCCGTTCCATATACTATGACCTCACAGGAAACAGCGTAGTAGATTTGCAGGCAGGGCACACTATGGCGTTGCGTAAAATTTTGCTGATTAAGGCACCTACACCCAAATGTTCCCCTACGACATGGCTCCCTTCCACAACTCCACGCCCCACCTGCGATCTTACCTAATTTTCCCACAAGTTTCACCCTGTCGAGGAAGGGGTGTATATAGAGCGCTTGAAATGGGAAAATCAAGGCTCGCAAAACATAATGTTTCAACACTTCCTTCCTTCTTCTCACCGAATGTTCCCAAAATTACGCCCAGTGGGGAAGGTGTATACAGTGCGCTTGAAAAAAAAAACGAAGAATCGGGAAAAAACATAAGGGTCCACTCCCCCCCCCAACCCCATCAGCGGTATTGAACAAGACTCAGTTGTGATTTCGTCAGCGATCACACAATGATGTGCACTGGTCACAGCATTTAACAAAGTTGTTCAGTTTTTTTTTGACATTTTGACAGAAATTCACAAAATGCTCCCCCCTTCACGAACTGACGCCTTTCCCGCAACCGACTCTTCATCAATCTCGTAATCATAGTTAGTCCTAGTTTTTCGAAATCTCAGCTCCACGAGATTGATGCAGACTGCTACTGACAATGAGATAACGTATCGTGTGAATCACCTTTAGGAGCTTTTTCAAGGAAGAAAGCTCCAGTTGACCCTTGCGGAGCCTTTTTTAGAGATAATGGTTTTCTTAGAGTATAGCTCTAACGGACGCTCAGCAGAAGAGAGTATACGGC